AATCAGAATGGGCCACCGAGTGGGGGTCTTGGGTGATAACTGAGGGGTGTGCCCCCTGTGTGCCTCCCCTCTTCCCAATGATGCCTCCTGACACTCAGTTCCTGACACTCGGCCCTCCTGACACTCAGTGTCTGCTCAGCTCTCTGCCTGAGGTCCCCACACTGACCCAAGAACCCAGTGCCCACATCTTTTGGCTGCTGGGGAAGTGCGTCTGGTTGGGGCAGGGGTGGGGCCTGGTCACCACAGCCAAGGCCATGGACTGCTGGATTCCAAGTTCAAGAACAGACAGCACAGGGCAGCTCAGAGCCGGTCAGACACGCTGTGGGGCTTTGGGAAGGACGGGGAGGGCATGCTGGGCAGGGAAGGGGTCCGGGTCCTGCGTGTTTGCATTTGCACAGCAGTCTCGGGTTCGAAATAACCCACTCACTCCCCTCAGCCCCTTCTCAGTGCCGACCAACCACCGCTTGCCCTGTGGAGGGAGGGAGGGAGCTGTAGGCTTGATGTGGCTCGAATGGCTCAGGATGGCCATGTGGTTTGTCCACTCGAGTTGAAAGGCAGATGGTGCCCTGTAGACAGGGACTCTCAACCTCCTGGGGCAGCTGGTGCTGAGCCGGTTTTCGGGGGATGGGGTGGAGGGGAAGGCTAAAGGCGAGGGCATGTCTCAGGGCTCACCGGAGCTGGGTGGGCTGGCCCAGTACCGGCACCCAACCATGCACCCTCCTCCCTCTGCGGAGGGTCGCCCTGCATTTCCACTCCCCTGCTCTGCCTCCCCTCCTCCCCTTCCGGAAAGCCTTCGCCGCTCTACTGTCCGGTCTGCGGTCTCAGACTCTGAATCCCTTTCTCCACCCGGTGCAGACACCCCCACCCACCTTCCCAACCGCCAGCCACTGCTCCCCACACTGGAACCAACCCCAGCCCGGCTGCCCCGACACTTCAGGCTCATTCCAGAATCCAAAACGCTGCTCACAGCCCGTGTGCCCCCCCCCCCCCCCCAACCGGTGGCGCCTGCTCTCCCCCCTCTTCCCAATGACACCTCCTTTGAGGTCTGTGTTCTGTTCCTCTTCGCCTGGCCCCACCACCACCCCTGCCATCGGCTCCCCCTGCTCGGCCCTCCTGACACTCTGCCTATAGAGCTCCTTCAGGGGACTCTCCTGAGCTTCACGTGGCCAGCACCTCGGCATCACCGTCTGCAGAGCAGCTGCCTCCATTCCCGCCCCTCCACATCCCTACAGGGCTCTGGGCCCAGGAGCTTCTCAGCACAGCATGTGTCTGCCGGGTGAGTGGGGCCGGGAAGTCTTCGATGGCGGGGCCAGCGTCGGGAGGCCACGGAGAGGCACCGGCAGTCACGGGGTGTGGACCCCAAAGGCGGACTCTAAAGGCAGCAGCAAACAGGGGCAGCGGGGCCATCTTCGGGCGGAAGCCAGGGATGTGAAGTCAGATCATTCCAGCCAGGAGCGGGGGGAGAAAGAGTCCCACGGTCCCCAGGATGCAGACGATGACGAACAGCCAGAGGAAGATCCTGTCAATGACCATGGCCACGTACTTCCAGTCTTCCTTCACCTGCGGGTTGGGGGGGAGGGGGGGGCGCACTCAGTGACAGGCCCCAGCCTTGGAAAGGGGTGGGTCGCTCTCAGGCCCAGCCCCTATAAAAACGGCACCAGGGCCAGGGGTTCCTCACTGAGACCCTGAGAAGCTTAAATGGGGGCGAGTGTGGAGTAGGGTTGTCTCAAGACTCAAGCAATATTTCCCTAAGTGATGCCCGCCCTGTCCTGCCCTTGACATAGCCCAGAGCTCCCCCGAGGCTCCCAGGTGAGAGAGGCTGGAGGGACAAGCAGGTTCTGGGCCCACCCAGGGCCGACAGTGGTTTAAACACACCACCTGGTACTTACAAATGGGGAAGACTCGCTGCCCCACTTTGTTCCCGCGGCCCACTCACCCACCCACCCAGGAGGTGGAGAGGGGGAGGGGAGGTGCCGCCCAGGGAAGGTTGGGGGCCATATTTTTCTTCTTCTTCTTCTTCTTCATTTTACACGGGGGGGGGGGGGGCTTTGTGGAATTTGGGCTCACAGCGCAGGTGAGTGTGTCTGAACTCCTAGCTGCTCCCAGATTAGATCATGATGAATGTTTCTTATCGACTCCACAAGGCCACCCAGGGATAGCCTCCCGGCCTCTCACCCTTCCCTGGGTTGTTAAGAAGAGTTGTGTGATCCTGGACAGTGGCCGGCTCACCTGATAAGGCTGGACATGGCAGAGGCCAGGGAGGGGAGCCCACCTGGTGAACAGTGAAGCTCACAAAATGCCCAGGAGGGGGGAGACATCGGGACAAAGGAGGAAGGCAGCAGCCTGATGTATGGTCTCTCTGGATGGTACTCCCTCTGCCCTCCCCCCGACCCCCACGGGATAATGGTGAGAAATGGCAGAGTGGCCTGAGAAGCTCTGCACCTGCGATCCCTCCCCTCCATCTTGCTGTCTCCCAGTCAGGCTTAGTCTGCCACCTGCCAATTCATGTCTTAAGAGCTCCCAACTAGACATTCTCCATCACTATTTATTTCTACTCCCAAGGCCATGACTGAGGGAGATGGGTCCTCTCATGAAGGAGACTGGTTTGGCCCACCCAACACCCTGGGGTAAGGTGATGGCCTTCTAGGCTGATAGCATCACCCAGGGGAGGGACCCAGCCCCAACTCACCGAAGAATCAGCGTCCTCAGAACGCAGGTGCTCAGCAATATAGTGCACGCCTTCCAGTGCCTTCTGCATGCGAAGTGACAGCAGGAGCCCGCCCTTCTGCAATGGGGCCTTCGCCTTGGGACCAGAGAGCCTTTGGTGCAGACCACCATGGCTGTAGAGGACACCCGTGGAGGGGGATGGCACCCATCTGTCCTCCTCCTCCTCCTCTTCCTCTTCTTCCTCCTCCTCTTCCTCCTCCTCCTCCTCCTCCCTCTCCTGTGCATCCACATTGGTCTCCAGCCAGTAATAGGGGGGGTCAAGCTTCAGATCTGGGGAGCCATGGAGCTCCAAGGGTGGCAGAGGCCGTTTCATCAGTAGCCACCGGGACACACGGCTGAGAAAGGCCCCCCGCACCCAGTGGGGCATATTGTGGGTGCGGGGGGAGCGGTGGTGGACATTGAGGACGAAGACCGTGATGACGATGGACAGGGTGACGAAGATCATGGTGAAGAGCAGATATTCACCGATGAGCGGGATGACCAGGGAGGTGGAGGGGATGATCTCGGTGATGAGCAGGAGGAAGACAGTGAGCGAGAGCAGCACGGAAATGCACAGGGTGATCTTCTCCCCGCAGTCGGAGGGCAGGTAGAAGACGAGCACGGTCAGGAAGGAGATGAGCAGGCAGGGGATGATGAGGTTGATGGTGTAGAAGAGGGGCAGGCGCCGGATGACAAAGTAGTAGGTGACGTCGGGGTAGATCTCGGCGCAGCAGTCGTACTTCTTGGTGTTGTAGGTGCCCGTGGCGTTGACGATGGCCCACTCGCCACTCTCCCAGTAGTCCTTCAGGTCCACCGTCTGCTCCATCGGCTGCAGGTCGATCTTGGCCTTGTCATACGACCAGGAGCCGAACTTCATCTTGCAGTTCTGCTGGTCGAAGGGGAAGAAGGTGACGTCGATGCTGCAGGAGCTCTTGTAGATGGCCGGGGGCACCCAGTGCACGGTGCCCGTGGAGAAGAGGTGGGCCTTGGTCATGTGGTTCACCACAAACTCCCCATCTGCACTGAGGAGAAGAGAGGAGTTGGAGGGCCTGGCACACCCCACCTGCCCAAACCAGGCTGCAGCAGGGGGACCCCGACCACAAAGCCAGACTTGACCAAGTTATTGGGTTTTAAGCCAGTGTGTGAGACTCCCCAAGCACACGGCCATTTATAGCTACTGCAGTTGTCTTTTCAAGCACCATTTTTTTTACATTACAAAGCAGAAATATTGAAGAATATAAAATTCCAAGAATGTCAAAAACAGCCACTATTAACATTCTGATGTTATATCCTATATAATAAAGAGCTAGTCTGCTAATTGGACTGAACAGCAGAATGACTGTCCAGACGAAGCCGGGGCTGTGAGGGACTGTGAGGGGCTGCAAGGGCCTACTCTTGCATGAATTTTGTGCATCGGGCCTCTAATATATATATATATTTGATTGCCTTATAGATCATATATATATATTATGTGTTTATGGGGTAGTGTAGCTTGATTTTTCTGTTTGTATTTATTTACTAGTTTAAAGTGATTATTTATGAGTGCATTTTCTCCCCCCAGCAAATGGTAAGGCCCTCCACTGGGGGTCACGTCTTGTCCACCTGGGATCCTCAATACCTTGCTGAGAAGAGACCCAGCATCTTTGCTAGTAAAGGAAGGCAATGCCTTGATGCTATCTATCCATTTACTGTGCATTTCTGAGCCAGCCTCAGCCACTAGGGGGACACAGTGTGAGACTCAGCCTGCCCTGAAGGAAGCAGGAGGAAATAGGACACAGCCCCAAACACCCACCACCCAAGGGAGGCAGTCTGGCAGCAGCGCTCTGAGGGCTGTCTGAGTGCTCCTCAAGAACTGTGGGGGGGGGGCGGGGGGGGGGACTCGCTTCTGGCTGGAGCGAGCACTTCTGGCTGGAGCGAGCACTTCTGGCTGGAGTGAGCACTTCTGGCTGGAGTGAGCAGGGTCACCATGAAAACTGCCACTTGAGCAAGGCCTTGACTGATGATAGGACTTGGTGGGGAGATGAGGTGAAGGTCCCAGCAGAGCATCCTCCAGAACAAGGAACAGGAGGGGAAGCACAAAATTCATGGGGTGTGCCTGGATTAGAGGGGCAGGGCCTGCTGTGACATGGAACTAGGCCTCTAAGGGCCCACAGGGGTTCTGGGCACACTGGAATTGGGTGCCTGAACCCCTGATTCCCTCTAGGAGGTGACGCAGTGTTCTGCTCCCTAGTCCTCCATAATAAAAGCGCAGTATGCAAATTATTCCCTCCACCAGGAGTTCGACCAGGGGGCAGGTAGGAGGGCGGGAGTGCCCTGCTGGCAGCCAGCAGCCTCTGGGGACCCTACCAATGCATGAATTTTGTGCACTGGGCCTTTAGTCTTTAATAATTCTCAAGGTCAATCCTAAAGACAGGAGAACATGCAGGAAGAGACTTCTTTCCTATGGAGTCATTCCAAGCTAGAGATTAGAAAACGGGAACCTTTTAAAGAAAACGCTGGCCCAGCCAGTGGCGTGACTCAGTGGCTGAATGTTGCCTATGAACCAGGAGGTCACAGTTCGATTCCCTGTCAGGGCACATACCGGGGTTGCAGGCTTGAGCCAATAGTGTGGGGCGTGCAGGGGACAGCTGATCAATTATTCTCTCTCATCACTGATATTTCTATCTATCTTTCCCTTCCTGTCTGAAATCAATAAAAAACATATTTTTAAAGAAAACGCTGGAAACTTTGAAAGAGAATCCCAGATCAGGCAAAAGTTAAAAAAAAAATTTTTTTAAAGGCGTTGTGTCATCACACATAATCACCACTAGATGGCCACATGCGCCCTGTTTTGAGGAAGGAGAGTGCGATGTCTTTGATCTTCCTTAAACCTGGAATGGGGTGCTCGGGTGGAGGACATCCTTCTTCAAATATAAGAATTTGGTTTGCGGTTTTGTCCTGTCGTAAGAATTACCTGTTACATTCAGGTAACACTGGCCAAAGCCTGGCTGGCCATCCTACCACTCCAGGGCATCTGGGATGCTAAGGACTTTGCTCTGACTCGTGCCAGAAGCACAAGAAGCTGAAAGTAGGTGGATCTTAGCTTCCGGGCACAGAGATATGGGGTGAGGTGCCCGTGATCCCGGTGGCAGCAGCAGGCCCTGGGCACCTGCGGTGTTGACCTCCCAGTAACCCATGCTGACAGTTTACAGAAATGGCTCCACTGAGAGGGAACCCTGTGGCTCTCCCTCTGACCCAGCCGGAGGCACCCAAACTCCAAAAGTCTATCTTTTCCCTTTGTCCTATTGTTTTAAAAAACGGCTTCTCCAAATTTGGGTCAAATGAATCGGGAGATGCCGGGCCGAATTGGTTTCCCGGCTGCACAACTTCTAACATTGAAACGCTACTGTGTTTCCCAGAGGACCGGGAGGGTCAACGGTTATCCAGGATTATCTGACCACAGGGCCATTTTTTCATGTCTACTCATATCCCCAGGATTTCCTTAGAGCCCCACTTTAGACAACATTTCAGATGGACATAATGCCAAATACCTTTTAACTTTAAACGCTAGACTTCTAAATGAAGAACTACCTGTGACCAAACACCATTTCTTCTTCCCCTCCTCTGTTGCCTGGCTCTCCAGAGACCATCCTGCCTTTTATTGGCTTCTAGTCATTATGCTCAAAGACTGGTCCTTTTTGGTCTTGAATACAAGGCAACTATAAGTGATACGATTTTTAAAAATACCCATGCCAAGTGAGCTTGCTGCCTGCGAGGGTGGTACCCCAGCCTCTGCTTACCTGCTCTAGCAACACTGCCCCCCCGGCAAAATTCCAGCCTTAGGCATTGTTTTCACAGCCCGCACCAGCCACGCTTTTCAAATAATAGTGTTGGAAAATCTGTATCCCACTCGCACAGCACCAAGCACGGATACATAACAGGTGCTCAGTAAATTCGGGTGTATGGGGAAGAGAACAAAATGAAAGAAAGAAAGGCATCGAGAGAAAAGGTGGGAGTAGGAGGTAGTAATAGCAGAGCAGGACTTCAGAGAAAGACATAGAGGTGAGACACAAGGGGGCGCGCTGCCCAAGTCCAACCCAGAAACTCCTCCCAGGGGGGCCTCTCCCGCCCCCCTCCCCCCTAAGACCCTGGCGGCTTCCTACTTGTTGTACAGGACAATGTCCGGGATCCAGATCATCTCCGAAGGGACGCGGAGGGAGGTGATGTTGCCGAACTCGGCCGGGTTCCAGCGCAGCTTGTGGTCGCTCCACTCCTGTGCGTGGGGAGGGGAGTCAGGGCGCCTGGTGCTGCCGGGGAGGCGGTCTCGGGGCAAACACGGGACAGCCCGGGGACGCCCCAGCAGCCGGATTCAGGAGCTCTGACCAGAGCTCGTCACCCAGCCCCACGGAACAGGCAGGGCTCGGCGCTGGGCGTCAGGAGCCTGGTCGGACATGGCCAATCTCTCGCTTTGCCCCAGCTCTCACGTCCAGAGTCCGGGCACATATGTCACCCTAGTCCCGCTTCTGGGCGCCTTCGTTCTGCTACGCCCTAGCGGACGACTTAGCGGAGGGGGTGGGGAGGACCTCACTCATTTGCAGTAACATTTGTTAATGCATCACAATTTACAGGTTTTTGCACCCGGGCAGGGAATGCCAAAAGGTGGGAGTATTTCTCCATTTCACAGATAAGGCAACCGAGGAGCAGAGCGGTAAAAACCTGCCAGAATATACAGCCAAGAAAGGGGAGTTCAAACTGTGCGCCAGAGCGCCCCCTAGGAGTCCCAGCAGGGCTTACACCAGCCGGTCCAAGTGAATCTGTTTTCTCCCCCAAACCAGGTGAGTATCATTCACTCTCTGAAGTCTCCTCGATGGCCCTGTCACACACGCTAAGGACAGGTGGCTGTGCGTGTTTATTGATGTAATGACCCTGGACGGTCCAGGAAGCCAAGGACAACACCTGCATTGCTAACACCCAGCCCCTGGTAGATGCTCAATACACGAATATCCCAGCAATGAAAAAACTCCCAAGTGGTAGGGTCCTACTTCCGGGAGGGCTCCCCGTGTCCCTTCTGGACCTAAAAGGAACAACCACTCCCAACAGAGAGTGACTGGCATGGACACGCAGGCCTGTCCTTCGCCTCACAGGGGCTTAATAATTAAAATAATAACTGCTACCATGGAGAAAGGCAACTTTGCTGGCAGCACCGGGGCTTGCACCCTGCCTCCCGGTCCATGGGCCCTTTTGCTTTCGTGCATTTGCACTAAAACAGCGCCGTGTTGAAGAGGGCGCCCTGCGTGATGCCGTTTCCCCTCCAGGAATAGTTGTGTAATGTGTACACAAATGCATGACCCTGGGAAGGACCCGGGGAGGAGAGGGAGCTGGCCCGGCAGAGGGAAAGCATGGCCCCTGCTCCTGCCTCCTCTGGAGGGGCCCTCACCTGCTTGAGCCAGACGTTGGTGGTCATCATCTGGTTCTTCTCATCCTGGACGGAAGGCAGCGGGAGAGAGGAGAAGTTAGAGCGGCAGAACCAGCCCCAGAAGACAGGGGGGCCTGGGGCGGACTGACTCCAGCCCCTCCTTCTCCAGAAGGCCGTCTTACATGATACAGCAAGCCCACCGGCCAACACCCCTCCCGACATTGTGCCCCTTACGCAGGCTCTTCAGGACCACACAGGCCCCTTGGATCCTCTGAGCTTGTGTCCAGCGGAATGAGCAGAGCATCTAGAAACCCACTGCGAACTCAGTGTCCTCCCAGGAGGGGCCCCAGGGCTGGGAGGAAGGGGAGCTCTGATGAGGTGGGCTGAGGGTGCAGAGGGACAGGCGCTGGAGCTGAGGAGGGAGGGACGACCCCAGCAAAGGGGCCTGTGCTCTGGGGGCTGATCCCTACGGCTCAAAGGGCGGTGGGACAGGCATACCACATCAATGAGCTGGGCTATGGACAGCCCGAAACGCACGATGACCACGTCCGAGGTGTGGGGCACTGGCCGTGCCCAGCGGTTGTAAGCCCTGAAGAGGTGTTTGAAGAGGCGATCCTCAGCTTGGGTGTGGGGGGCTCGCGGCGCCGACACTGTGGGACAGGAAGAAAGAGTGGGGTCTCCAGGAGTCCATGCTGGTGGGAGCCCAACTCCCTCTCCCATCAAATCAGAGCCACTCAGCCTCACTGAGCCTCAATTTCCTCATCTGTAAAGTGGGAACGCTCTCCAGAACCTATCTCACAACACTATTGAGGATTAAATAGGGTCATGTGTGTGCGAACTTAACAACCAGCACATGGTTGGAACTCAAGAAATGTCAGTTGCTCTTTGTTCTCTATGAAGGCATGGAAATGAGTGTTGAGGAGGGGTATCAGGCGGAGGAGTGAGGAAGAAGCCAGACCTAGAGAAGAGATTCAGCCCAGAACTGAGGGGCTAGGGAAAAGTGTCCCAAACTTGTCTGATGGGACTCCCCGTGTCTGTTCTGCGAACAGCTTCACCTCTTAGGGCTCTGCTGCCTGAGCAAGTGGAGGCTAAAATCCAGAGAAGCGATCAATAGCAGCAGTCGCCATGCATTGAGCGTGACTGTGTTCCAGGTGCTAGTCACAACCTCTCATTTCATGGGATCCTTACAGTTGACCTGGGAGGTTCACAGGGCGATTGGCACTTACAGATGAGGGACCCTGGAGCAAGGGAGGTTCCGGGTGCCGCAGCTGCCAGTGTCTGACTTGTGCGCGCCCTGCCCCTCACTGTGGACTGAGCTACTTGAAGTCCCCTGCAGACTTGCCATGAGCCCACCCAGGAGTTTCCTCCACAGCCTGTGAGCTTGTAGGTGCGACAGGATGTCCTAGTGATGACACTTACTCACCTGCTGGGGTCAGAAGGAGCCACCACAGGCCAAGCTTGGCCAGGGGTGGGAGTGCAGGGTGGGAGGGGCCCATGGCTTCAGAGGAGAGGTCTGGCTGCCCCTGGACCTCAGGAGGAGGGCAGGCCAGGGTTTTGCTGTGACTTGAACCTCGACTGCTTCCCCAGCAGGGCTACAAGTTGCTGACTTGGCGGAGCGCCCGCTGGATTCCACGTAGCTCTCTCTCACCACTAAACCTGAGCAAGCACAAGAGAGGGTCTTAGAGACACGCATCCTTGATACAGATGTGCCTTTGCTCCTCACACTCCACACGGATGTGAAAGGTGAGGACCAGGCCTCCCAGGAGGGGAGGGCTCTTGGGCTCTCCTTGGTTTGAGGACCAGCATCTTTCACGTTCTCAGGGTCAGCCAGTGATTCTGCCCTAAGATAAGCCTGAACTCGCTGGACAGAGGAGGCCACAGGATAACCCCAAAGTCCCCCTTTTTCTGGCCCCAGTGTTGCATGTGGAAAATGAGGATAAACAGCCCAGGCAGTGTACCTAATGGTTGAGTGTCGACCTTGAACCAGGAGGTCAAGTTTCCATTCCCAGTCAGAGCACATGCCCAGGGTTGCAGGCTCGATCCCCAATGGGGGCTGTGCAGGAGGCAGCCAATCAATGATTCTCTCTTATCACTGATGTTTCTATCTCTCTCTCCCCCTTTCTTCTTTTCTGAAATCAATAAAAATATATCTACACTAATAAAAGAGAAAAATGGTAATTGGCGTACGACACTACCCTTTTCATTGGCTAATCAGGGCTATATGCAAATTAAATGCCAACTAAGATTGGCAGTTAACTGCCAACAAGATGTGGGTTAATTTGCATATGTAGGCACAATGCAGGGAGGCGAAAGGGAAAGCAGGAAGCTCCTG